TCTTGGAGGAGAGACGAAACGTTTCATTAGAGAAGAACTCGTCCAGAAGACCTATACAATTTTTTCTTTTTGTACCAAGAGTTGCTTGTCTGCACTTTGGGTCATAAAAAAATCACCATTAACCATGACGAGTGCATCACACAAATTTCAACATTAACATTTTTTTATATTTATATTTCATTATTGCCTTTAAAATTTTTTGAGGGAGGTGGGGTTGTGCACTGGCACAGCCTAAGGTTTTATCCTTAATAGCCCCCCACCACCACATTAATTATACTTAAAGTAGTTTTAAACCAGTACTTTTACTTGAGGAAAATGTTACTTCTGAAAAGTCTTTTTAAACCCTTACTATGGTATCTATACTTTTAATACAGTGATGAATGTGAAGACTTTGACACATCTGAACTTGCTTAAATCTTTTTCTGTTTCGCTTTGCTTCATTCTGTGCATCGGGGCCATTGATGCAGCGTTTTTCAATCCTGGTCCTCAAGACACACTGTCCTTCATGTTTTAGTTGTTTCCCTGTTTCAACACAGCTGATTTCACTTTATAAGTGGTTAACAGGCTTTTGTTGAAACGGCAATCTAAACTAGACATGGGTTTTTACGATGTTAAAACAAGTGTGCATTGCCATGTAGCATGTCATTGCTGCATGGCTTTGCCTGCAGCATTGGACTTGCAGAATGAACTTTGACCAAGTTCAAATGTGTTTTCTATACCAGCTTGTGCCTGTCACGTCATCAGGTGTTTGTAATTAAGGTAATTGTGTGACAATACGAAGTTTGCAGAGATTTTTGTTAAAGTAGCAGTAGCTGGATTTGAACCCTGATCTCCCACATGAAAGCCCACAGTGCTCATCATGAGACTATAGGAGATGTAGCAGAGGACAATCCCAGGGATTGGATTGTATGTATACAGAAAAAGTTTACCTTGCCAATGCAATTATTGACACTTAAGTGCAATGTATTACAGCAATAGGACAACATAAAGACAGTATTACAGTAAAACATCAAAATACAATCATATTAATATTGTAATCACTAAACTACTGAGTTTAAATATTATAAAACTATGGTGCATCATCAACTGTGGCGTATCATATTGTGTAGAGGAAGCAGGGGGCAGTATTGGACCAATACAAGGCTCCATTGACTGCCATTATAATTTATTAAACATTAATATTTGAAAAACTAAGGTTTACAGGCACTAAAAGGCATAGCCATCATTTGGCACAGGGGCTTTACAGATATAAATTGCAATGGCAGCTGTAGGACAAAGTATGCAGGAGGAGAAGCATGGCAAAGTTGAGATGACTTGGATGGGAAACGAATCACAATAGTGTACATTGCATTGGCAATGCACACTGATAAGGTGTGTTAAAGCAGGAAAAATCTGCAAGGCACACTGCCTTGAGGACCAGGATTCGCCCTCCTCCAGGCCGGTAGGTGGCAGTCTCCAGCCGGGGCGGTATGCGGTACGCCGCCGGCCCGATAGGGGACGGTGTAAGGCCGGGGCTGGCCACCGCCTTTAGCTCACTTTAAACCAAACTCAAAAGAAGTCGGAGTCAGGAAAGAAACAGGAAGAAGACGACGCAACACAATGACTTCGACTAGGAGACTAGGCAAGGTAAATACGAATAAATATAAAGTAACATTTCTGTAACGCTTTCAGGGAGTGTAGACAACTCGTTTCGTCTCAAAGTGTCGAGCTACGAGCCGCGGAGCTGAAGAAATCGACCGGGTTTGTTTGTCGCTCGTGTTGCCGGACGAAATGAAAGGAGAACCACGTCCGACCGACGGTGACACGAAATGGGGTTGATGGGTTTAAAAAAAGGCCCGGTGGCCCTGAGGCAGGGCTCTCACATTACGTATCGGTGTTTGACGGAGTGATGTGGGCGAAGTGGAGCCGCTAGTATGTCCGTGTGAAGACACCCAGCTGTGGAGAAAACATGGAGACCGACCGTGGAGCCGTGACGTCACAGCTCAGCTGAGCCGTCAAACGAATGATCGGCAGCTGCCAGGCTGAGCTGATCAATCACAGAATAAAATCACCTCCAGGCTTTTCCAGCACAAACTACACCAGTTAACAGATTAATGCCTCTGTAATCTGAACCAACCTGACTGATTAGTGAGGCAGGGATTTAAATAAACTTCTTGTGTCATCAAAAATGCGAGGATTTCTTAACAAAAAACGACACATCGCTGTGTTTATATTGTTTTTAAGCCACTGGAAAGTAAACCACACAATTTAATGTGTTGACTGACGTATTAAAACAAAAATGAAACTATGCCATGTGGCGTTAGGTGAAATGAAAAGTCTGATCTTTCAGTAAAAATAATGTTTAAATACACAAATATATAATAATTATTATAGTATGTAATGAATACGTCAGTGTTATTTAAGTATTATGTTAAATGTTATGCAGTGTTGTATAAAGTACCTCAAAGTGATACTTGAGTAAAAGTACAATACTTTGGTAAAAGTTGGTCTTCTCCAAAAAAATTACTTGAGTAAAAGTCTTAAAGTATCTGATATTTTTTGTACTTAAGTATCAAAAGTAAATTTCTGACACAAAATCTACTTAAGTATTAAAAGTAAAAGTACTGAGTAAAACTGAGCCATTAGATTTTTCAAAATGACATTTATTGGGAGGTGACTTCTCCAAAACATATTTTTTCTAACAGCGTGCAGCTGTGATGGTTTGTGTACAAGCTAATAGGGTGTCAGAATGGTATATATTTATACTTCTCATCCAACCACAATTAAATTCACTCTATCCAGGAGACATTTTATCAGGATAGTATTTTTTTAAGTAATAATAACTCTGAATAAATTAGGAGTAATGACTTTCTACTTCTTACCTTTTTAAAAAATGTAGTGAGTAGAAAGTACAGATAATTGTGTAAAAATGTAATGAGTAAAAGTAAAAAGTATGCTGAAGAATAATTACTCAAGTAAAGTACAGATAACCAAAATTTCTACTTAAGTACAGTAACAAAGTATTTGTACTTGGTTACTTTACAACTCTGATGTTATGAAGTACTGCATGATTAGGGCAGTTTATTTTTATTGGACTTGCATCCATTAATTTGACTCATAAGGAAGATTAAAAAACAAACGAGGACTCTGTGAATGAACGTCTACAGCCCGCTGCCCCGCCTGCTGAAGGTTTAAACACTAATCTTGCTTGATCTGTTGCCTCTCAGCTACTTCATCACCAACATTTAGCTGTCTGTGAAAATGACAAATAACTTGTTGTCTAATGTCAGTTAGTCTCGGCAGCCATCTTAAATCAGGTTGACTCCAGTAATGTAATTTAATGATCATCTGAGAGTTTTGTTGAAATCTGTGCAGTGCTTCAGGAGAGATTTAGCTAATGTCAAGTTACATGATCCTCCTTTTTTCTTGACAGCATGCAATAATATACACATATTTATATGGCTTTTTAAAACACTAAAAAAGACTAACGTGGAAAAATAATTTAGGAAAAGCTGGCAGGAATTCTGTTTTTAGTTTTCATTTTGTTGACATCAGAACTGACCTAACATGTTTACCTTAAATCAGGAGTCTGATCAGATGTTTTACTTTCTGTTTCCAGTAAAACCAGGAGGCCACAAGGACCAAAAGGTTGTGGACTTTTGTTGGAGGAAAATTAATGAAGTTGTTTTAGAGAGTTGAAATGTTTTTGTTGATCAGTGATGAGCGGACTTTGTTCTTCAGTAAATTCTTCTCCTGTTTGTGTGACGACGTCTCATTGTTTCACTTTCATTTTATCTGAATGTTACTAGTCTGCCTGCAGGAATTCCCCCGTTTTGCAAATTTCCCCAAACGTTTTTACAGCTCAGGTAAATACTTTAAATTACAACAGACTGCAGGAAACGCACATAAGCTGTGGGTAATGGTATCCCAGGATCCTTTGCACTCTCATCAATTTTTACAGAAAAAAAGAAAAAAGCTGAGTTTGGTACAATACACATTTTGAGCAGACCATTGTACAATAAACATGAATAGAGAAAGCAGTAAAATTAAACAAAACACAATATATTAAAATCCTAAAAAGAAAGTTTCACAATAGTATAAAGCCATTGTTTTGATACTGGAGCTAAACTCAAATTATTATTGTCTTTTGCGTAGTGTAGTATTTTTAATTGAATGTTATACCTCCTGTGAAAAGATGTGAATACATGTTCCAACACATTTTAAGTTGTAGACATTTATAGGTGATGTGATTATAAAGTGTAACACTATGGTAACAGTATAGTGTGTGGTCACACAAACATACACTCAAAAAATGAAATGTTGGATTTACTTAACCATGTTATGTTACCTGGTTCCACTTAACTGAGTTGAGTAAATTCAAAGCAACATACTCATGTTCTTTGGTTAAAAAACTGGTATATTGCTTTGAATTTACTCAACTCAGTTAAGTGGAACCAGGTCACATAACATGGTTAAGTAAATCCAACATTTCATTTTTTACAGTGTACGTCATCCATCCCATTAAACAGCCGTTAGGTCCAGCCTACCAGGACTGAGAAGGGTGTGGCCTTCATGGGGCTGCATCCTTCAAAGGACCTGTCCTTCTCGGTCTACATGGGCTGGGTCCTTTTGTTGACCTCAAAGACCGGAAGAAAGTGGCTGTGAATTTGGACGATCTAGTCTCCAGCTTTATTCCTGCCCCCATCTCAGCGATGGACCTAAAAAGAAGCAATAACGATAGAAATTAGCAAAATATTAATATTATAAATTAACAAAATAAGCTTAGAATCACATGAACTATGGGACCCACCAAACGATCTCGTTTGCAATGATTTCTGATGAATAAATATTTAAAAAACATGTTATGCAAATGACAACAGCCTAACAACACAACTGCTATAAACGTTCACTTTTTATTTAAAACTGTACTCCTGTATCTTGCTTCATCTGCCATTACAAGCAAAAAAATTTCCTGGCCAGTAGGGTTGGGCATAATCGTATCGTGTGCAATTAATCGTCAGAAAAACATTAATCGATTATTTTTTGGCATTTGACAATTAATACGATTAATGCCACCAGGCAGATTGACTGGATATTTCCCCGGTCAGTCTGCTCGGTGCTCCTCTCCGCTTCAATACGACGAACACTTAAAAAAAAAAATTCTGCAATTTTTTTATCTATCAACACAATTTCAAATTTGATGAATAGCCCGAAGTCTGTAATTTTGACAATTTGGAACAGATTTTTATGAAGAGCAAATATTTCTCACTAAATTGGTCATGTGACTAGGACATAAGGATGTCCAGGGACTCCAGGGGATTAATCGTCAAATTAATCGTTATTGGCTAAATACCACAATTAATCGTGATTAATTTTATTGCCAATATCGCCCAGCCCTACTGGCCACCCTGCAATGCATCTTGGGAGAGGGTGGGCTGTGAATAATACGTTGTACCTGACCCTGAAATCGAGGAAGATGAGGATGTATTTGTGGGCTTCAATTGGAGGAGCCTTCAAAATTTGGACAACCCTCTATGTATCCTTGTGACGTAATCTGCCTTTGAAGGATGCAGCCCATGAGCTTGGACACAGCAGTATTGATCCCATCATGCTAATGGCTTGTTAGCCTCTTAGCCACTTTAACTTCCAGGCGGATTGTATTTATAGCGACAGAGCAGGTTGGAAGATGATCATTTGATGTTATTGCTTGATTTTATTTTTTGAACATCTTACAGGCTCTGACATGACAAATAAAATTTAAACACTTTTTGAAAAAATCTGATTGCTCTGTGTACCTGCAAAATGACGAAAAACCAGTGTAAATTATGGACGATACAAAACAACTTCAAATGTATGTTAATGGAAGTGACATCATTTCAACATTTTATTATGTAAATATTAAAAAGATGTAAAATCAAGATGTGAAACTAAAAGACTTTAGATCATTTCTGTTGATTAGAACCATCAAACAAATTTTCTGAAAGTATACTTTCAGACAGATAAAAGTGTATCTGTCGGCAGGATTCACATGGAAATGTTTTGTTGCAGGAGCTGGAGGATATCCGCAGATCTGGAATGGAGCATTTCCGCAACATTCAAGTGGATGAATCAAACCTTTTGAACTGGCAAGGACTCATCGTTCCTGTGAGTCCTGAGCCTTCTGGTCTGAACTGGTTTTAGCCCTCTGGGATGGTTGGTTGGTAGGATTGTGGGAAGTTTGTTTCATGAAGCTCTTTGGGTTTCACTTTTTTAAAAAATATACTCTTTATTTTGTCTTGTCAACACAAAAGATGAGCAGGGATGGAACAAACAACAATAGAAACAAGATTTTAAAGTTATAGGCTTAAAGTTATGACCTTTTTTGGTCATACCTTTTTGTAATCAGGCCAAGGTATAAAACTTGTGGATCCCTAGGAACCTTACACTGAAGAACAACCTCTGACTAAAACTGTTTTAATTTGTCACATGACTGAAAGACATGCAGGTGGTTGTGATTAATGTGGTCACATTCTCTCCAACATAGTTTCACTTTTACTTCAGAGGTAATAAAACTATAAATAGTATTGTAATAGCAGTAGGTAGGTTTAGATGGTGATAAATGGGGAAAGCAAAGAGTGTTGACTTTGAATATGTTTGTGAGAAGCAGAGTCCCACAATTGTGCGCGAGTCATAAAGTTCAATATTTTTTCCTCTGCCGCAGTTCACTGCTCTTCTCTGTAAATCACCTTCAGTGTGCACACTGCCATTATAACCCATTAAATGTAACAAAAAGCAGTAAAGTTGGGCCCAGTGCTCAGTGTGCCCCCTACGCCCCTCTGAAGTGTGGATTCAGTCGAAGTGCACATGAGTGTTTGAGTGCGCAGGCTACAAGAGTGCAAAACACTTGAGAACTGGGACAGTACGGATTACGTCATCAAACACCGGTAGCTACCAGTCGCTGTAAGGCCAAATTTCATATACATAAAAGCAAATGTTTAAAGAAAGAAACTAATTTTATCTCCTTCATGATTAAGTTTACACAATATAAGTAATCTATTCACTTCTCTACTAATCAGAAGGCAAAAAAAATTGCAATGTCTTGTTCTCTTTTTTGGGATTCCTGATTTAACTTTGTCGTGATTGGTTCTTTTTTGTGGTGTAATCATTTTATTTAATGTTTATTATTATTATTATTATTATATTATTATTATTATTATTATTATTATAAATATATTTATACATTTCCCCCTCTTTTTTCNTTTTTCATTTATAGTTCTTCATTCCTCCTGGCAGCATTGTTATTTTTCGTACCATATTCGAATGTTCAATAAAGGTTTATTAAAAAAACCAGTCACTGTTTTGGCAGCAATGAATTGTGGGTAATACACTTCACAGAAGTCCGTAAAAACGCAGACTTCGCGTAAGGGCGGAAATAATACCCAAAATGGGCGGGGCGAAGGGTTGATGTGGAGAATGTGGGACACATTACACACTCAAACCCTTCAACGTGAACATTGAAGTGCACAAGAGCGGAACGAGGGTGGGAGTGTGGGTATTGGGACAGGGTCTTTGTGTCCTCCAGCAGGGGCAAAGAGCAGCAGATAATCAGGGACAGCTGTTCAACTTGCTGCCATCAGGGAAAAGATTCAGGAACTTTAAATGTAGAACAAACAGGTTTTACTTTGTGGGCCATTACAATCCTGAACGCTGCAAAATAACAAATCAACATAATGGTTATTCATTTCATTTGTGTAATCTATTTATCTTCTGTGTGCAATAACCCCCTTTGAATGTTACTTCAAAGGTTTTGTTCAACTTCTTACTTTTATTAACATTAGTACTTTTATTGTGTGAATGGTACGTTTGGAGGAGGGGACATGTTTTTATTGTACACACCTTACTTGAGCTGGACTCTGGTTGTGTTTTCATGAAACAGTGACAATAAAGGCGTTGTGATTCTAACGTTGGTGTCAGATCTCTGACAAACTTTGCACTCCGTCTTTCTTCAGGACCGTCCACCATATGACAAAGGAGCCTTTCGGATTGAGATAGCCTTCCCTGCAGAGTACCCCTTCAAGCCCCCCAAGATCACCTTCAAGACAAAGATCTACCACCCCAACATCGATGAGAAGGGCCAGGTGTGCCTGCCCATCATCAGTGTGGAGAACTGGAAGCCAGCCACTAGAACCATCCAAGGTGAGTGAGCTGGAGCTGCTGCAGGTGAAGCTGGTTAAGCAGTGAAGTAAGTTAACTCCTAGTTTTCTCTCCTCTCCTGCAGTGATACAGTGTCTCATTTCTCTGGTACACACCCCTCAGCCGGAGCACCCACTCAGGGCAGACCTGGCAGAAGAATACACCAAAGACCATGTAAAATTCCTGAAGAACGCTGAGGAGTTCACAAAGAAACACAGTGAAAAGAGACCCATAGACTGATGATACGTTCGACCGTCAGCAACCTGTTTCCTGATTCTACAGAGCCCAACTCTTAGCCCCGTGTTTCACAGAGATGCCCTGTTCTTGTGTACCTGCAACGTTTAGCACTCATCAACCAATCTATAATAGAGGTTTCTGTTTCTGTTTCACTTTGCCAAAAGAAAAATGAAAAACAAGCAGGACTTTTTGGTGAGTGTGCAGGTTCTGGCCTCTAGGTGTCACCTTTTGGTTGTTTTTCCACTTCTTTCTACTGATTTCTTTTTAGGAAAAATAAGAAAATTATCAGAGGTGGCATTCTGCAAAATAAAGTGCTTTTCGGCTTAACTAAATGTTGAATGTTATCTCAGTTTAATCATTAGCCTCTGCTGTCCTGTTTACAGATTTTTAAGCTTTGTTTTAATAGTTAATAGCAGCTGATGCGGTTTATCTTTTTTCTTTTTCTCATGTTGCACCAGAATCTGTGAAATCACTTGTTTCAGTACAGTTTTTCTGATAAATCCACATGTAAAACAGAAGTTATTGAAAATGCAACCAGGGTTTTTTTAAACCCATTAGTTTCTGGTTTGAGAAAACATTTCTAAATAAAAATGTTCCACCTCAGTTTGCCTCGTAAGTGAAAACTGTCAGAGCAGAGCTGTAAAGTCGGTCATAGAAAAACATATTTGTCTTTGGTTTGGGGGTTTATTTAAAATCAGTTTTCAGTTGAAACTAAATGTTTACAAACATTAAAGACTGAACCATTTTTCCTCACTGACATTAAATCAGACTAATTTTTTCCTGTTAGGACTCATTTTTTTATTAAATGGCTGAATATGAAGATATATATATATATATATATATATATAAATTTTACAAAACTTATTCAAAGTCACAAGTTTGTGCCCATTTTTTATTATTGCCCTCAATATGATTTGGGTCACGTTTCTGGTTTCCTTGTAGAAACTTTTAAAAAATAGCTGGGATTTTGCTTCAGTCCTCCTGAAAGAAGTTTTGGAGTTTTTCTGAGGTCTGTGGACTGCATTGGTCAAACCTTTCTCCATCCACTCCATCCTGCCTGAAGTCATATCTTTAACTCAAATGTTGTCAACTAATTATTCAAAAACTCCCAAAGCCATGATGACACCATTATCATCTGGGCATTTAAAAACTGGTTTAAGCCAAAGTAATCAGTTTATGTCTATGTGACTTTGAGAAAAGTAAAAAAATCTCTTTCTTCAAATATTTACTGTTATTTACAAATTGAAAAAAAAGAAGGAATCCCCACTGACTGAAATTGTGTAAGTTTTGATGTGATTTCCTGTTTGTAAAAATATGGTGTATGTAAATATGTGGCTTCAACTGTAGTACTGCAGAAGTAGTAAAAGCACTTCTGATTTATAAATAAAATATGGTTGTTTTGTGCAGGTATCCAATAAATGGCTGAACTGTAAATTAGGTTAAAAGTAGATTATGGAGATTTAATGCTATTTTAATCGTTATGGACCAATTTTATTGTTAAATTGTAAAAAAAAACTTTATTTTTCCCTGCAGCCTGAGCTCATGCTGACTCATTTTGCATCTACATTTATAGCATTGATCTGACAACTTTCATGTAATTGAATAAAAGTAAAGAAAAAATAACAGGGGTCCTAAACAGGACCCTTGCGGAACACCTGTTTTTAGTTTTGCAAGGTTGTATCTCACTAACTCTGATTTTAACTTTGAACAGAATCAATATACTTTATATTCATAAAAGTGGAAAAAACATCTAATTGTTAGATAACAGTCTTTTGTCTGTATACAAAGTAAGAACAGTTTGAGAACAAATGTTTTGAAATAGTTTATTAAAGACAGGGTTACATTTAACTTGAGGTAGAATTTTCTGCAGGTCATGTCTGAGATCTTTTCACCCTGAAGATTTGTAACTTTTGAGAGAAGCAGCAGCTTCCTGTGTGGTGATGCTGAGGCGTCGCTCTGCGTTCAGACAGGTTCAGTCTGGGAACAGCTGAAGATGGCTGTCAGGCGTTTCACTCTCACTTCTTGAACTGAACAAGGGGAGCAGGAACCTTGATATCTTGACCCTTCTCTAACTTCTTCTCACACTCAATCAGGTAGTTGACCCCATCGACCACCAGCTGGACCAGCTCCACCTGAACAGAAACATCAGTACAAAGATGGTAAATGGACTGTAATTATACAGCACCTTTCTATCCAACCAAGATACTCAAAAAGCTTCACACTACAGTCTGTGTCCTCATTTATCCATTCACACAGCACTCCATTAGGTCTCTACAAAGCTAATCTGCATAGATCATTGGCTAATCAGTGTTTAAATCCCATTCACACTGATGGGACACACATCAGGGCCGGTAGGGGTTCATTGTCTTGCTCAAAGACACTTTGAACTGGGACTGAATAGCAGGGAATCAAACCGTCAACTCAGATAGGTTGTTTGATCTGCCAAGTGTAAAGTCCTACTTAAAAAAGGTCCACTTATTGTTATTTACCTCACTGTTCTTACATTTTACAAAATTTTTACTAAATGTCAAATTTAAATGTTCTGTCTACGTAATAAATCCTAAATCTAAATTTGAAAATCTAAATGTAAAAGTTAAATCTGAATGTCGTGGCTAAATGTTGAAGTTTATATTTAAGTATTTTAGAATGGAACGCAGGTTTTGCTGTTGATGCCAGGATTTTTGTTATGACATCATCATCCTGTGACAAAAGCAAACGCTAACACTGCTAACACTGCTAACGTTTCAATATAAGACGTCTGATCTGCACTTCAAACTGCCCTATCACAGCTAACATCCGTATTGTTTTCAATGAACACATTTTGACTTTAAAATTTATACCATCTTCAGCAGCGTTAACAGTCTTATCATTTGCTTTTGTTGCAGGATGATGATGTCACAACAAAAGCCAACAACAAAGGCTGTGTTCCTTTCTAAATCTCTTAAAAGCAAACTTTATCATTTAGCTGCAGCTAAAATGTAATTTTTACATCTACATTTACACATTTGAATTTAGCATGTAATATTTACAAATAACATTTAGCTAAGTTTAGCTAAATGTAATTAGTGAGCTAAATAAAAACTAAATGTTGGCGGAAAATTTTTAGCTAGGACTTTACACTCAGAAATTGAGCTGGATAATGTGACAGATTTTCACATTGTATTTTACACTTGGTGCCTTCTTAGGTGGAGTCTCACCTCAGATTTACCCAGACGGTCCAGGTTTGAAATATCAAAGGTGTCTCCAGTGGCAGCCGTGTCCACTCCACCTGTGCCTCGCTTCTGCAGCCGCAGGTTGTCCAGGATTTTAGAGAAACGTGGGTCCTGCCAAGGCAAAATGTGACACGCTGCAGTTAGAAAATATCCCCAGTAAAACTAAGAAACGCTGAGGGTTTCTTGAAGGACCGCACAATGTCTGCTGTCTGTCATGGAAAGGTTTTAATCAAAGTTCATAAAAGGCAGAGTTAAAACCACTTTAGTCAAACCTTAAAATGATTTCACACCATCAGATTATGTGTTGGAACAACTCTCAGCTACAGCCCAACTGTAGATTATTTCTTTAACAATTCATAAAGTGAGGGTAAATTAATTTTCATTTCAATGAAGGACTCTTCCAAAGGAATCTAATCTAATCTAAAAAACTGACAGAATTATTGTTGAATGTGGGTTTGCTGAGGTGGCCGTCTTAAATCAGATTGACTCCAATCTAAAGACTGATGTGATGGGTTGGTAACATGACAGAAAAAGACTTATCGCCCACCTTTGCTTTCCAGTGTGTAAAATAATAAACAGGCATTGCTTTCTTTAAACAACATATTCTATTAAGAAATTTGACATGAGAAATGGAATATCACCAAGTTCAACATAAGGAAAATCTTTTTTTGGATGGACCCTGGAACCAGAATGCTTAATATAAAAATATTGTAGGCTGTTTAGTTTTTATACATGTTAAAAC